TGTGATTTAAAGGACATATTCTGATCAAAGATGACTCCAAGGTTCCTCACAGTAGTACTGGAGTCGAGAGCTATGTCATCTAAAGTAACTATATGATTAGACAGCAGATTTCTAAGGTTTTCAGGCCCAAGCACAATGACTTCAGGTTTATCAGAGTTTAGAAGTAAGAAGTTGCAGGTCATCCAGGCCTTTATGTCTTTAAGACATGCTTGAAGTTTGACCAGCTGATCTGATTCATTTGGCTTCATAGATAAATATAACTGAGTATCATCTGCATAGCAATGGAAATTTATGTTGTGCTTCATGATAATATTGACTAAAGGGAGCATGTATAAAGTGAAGAGAAGGAATAATAGGAAACACCGACAGTGACCGTTTTTGTCATAGTGAGTGCTTTACTTTTGAGACCAAGTCGATTTAACTGATATGCTTTTATTTAAGAAAGGACTATTACTACTAATGGCCTTTTGTGACAGGACATTAACTTTAAATAGAGTATTTCTACTTTGATACTTGAAGGATCTGAATACTTCTTGCATGACTGACACAACGGACGGCAACATATTATACTATCACAGATGTTTTCACGTGATGAATCCCAGATCTTTCATCTCCCTCCTGCTTTTGTTGTGTCAACTCTCTGCAGAAGAAGAGCAGAGAGGAGAGCTGTGGCGAGGGCAGCGGGGTGGAGATCCTGGAGAACAGGCCCTACGAGGACGGCCCCGGAGGCTCGGGTCAGTACACGCATAAGGTCTATCACATCGGCAAACACATCCCGTCTTGGTTCTGTGCCATTCTGCCTCAAGCTGCACTGCGAGTGGAGGAGGAGTCCTGGAACGCCTACCCCTATACACGCACCCGGTGAGGGACGCACACAAACACTGGGCTGCAAAAGTAAAACTTCACCAGAGTTGAACATCAAAAACCTTCACATAGAAGCACATCCTCGATGAGTGCAGTGCAGAACCTGAGCTGTGCGCGGCATCATTCTGTCTGATGATAATAATAATTATAATTACAATATAATAATATAGCCTAATTAAAACCCTCTGGGGTCTAGGTTAATTTCTATTTTTACAGATTCTCTATGTGGGTGTCATGGTGGAATGGTGGTTAGCACCGTCGCCTCACAGCAAGAAGGTTCCGGGGTTCGACTTAATAAGAGTCTTGGTAAATACAGGCCCTGGTCTGAGAGTCGTATAGCCATATGTCCGAGAGGAAATTATGTCGGACAGATATTAAAAATGATGTATGGTTATTAGCATTATATAGTTTTTGCTAAATTGCCCAAACTTTCCTGGCACGTCTAAAGTGGAAACACTGATCTTCCAGTAACAAAGAGTTGTTAATGCTTTTTGTAATATGGCTCTGAGATTCATCAGTTTGATGAACTGGCTTGATGCTGCCCATGGAGCAGCTCTTTTATTTGGACCAGTTTCAGATGAATAATCACATATTCATTTGCTGAACACACTGTTGCCAACTTTGTGTCAGGTTTGGCAGCGTCTTAAATCCTCCCAGTGACTTAATCTCTGTAAAACACCAAGTGCAGCTGTGTTCTCAGAACAGCACCACTGACTGTGGCCCACATTAGCAGACCTGATGCTCATGGATCAGATTGGCAGGAATTCACTCAAGTTATGTAGCTCCTGCAGATTTTGTCGTTGCTGAATAGTTTTCCGATCAGTTTCACGGTATCAGAAATGGACACAACATTTAGATGCTCTGACTTCAGGGAAAGACGCTGTCTGGTATGTGAAGCGTTGAGGCTTTAGAGCTAATATAAGTTTTAATTTACAAGCTTAATAGATAATTCTAGACACTGGTTGTGGTTATTGGTCAAATTATTTACAAGAAAGAGACAGTACATGGATGATTTGGGTGATTTTTATAACTGTTTTTGTTTTGCCTTAAATGAGGATGGAGCTTTGTGTATTTCTACATCTAACTGCGTTTCATTTTTGTTTCTCAGGTATACTTGCCCCTTTGTAGAGAAATTCTCCATAGACATTGAGACATATTATAAACCAGATACTGGAAATCAAGTGGATGTTTTCAGTCTGTCCTCTAATGAAAAGAGACAGAGGACCATAGGTAAGTCTGTCATCACATACACAACAACACACATGGAGAACACTCCCAGACCTAACCTGTGTTTGGTATCTCCTCATAAACAGACATTGTTACTGGCAGTGAGAGCACAGACTGTGAGGGACACACTGAGGAGAACTAGAGATTGTTTTGAGTCTCTGAATACTAAAATTCACTGGGGTGCAGGAATGTGCAGTGTGCTCCAGGCACGCTCCCTACAGGGAGTGATTGCATAAGATACACACAGTAAAACCCACCTACACACACCTCTGGAGGCAGATCTGCACCAGTTTTACATTTGTGTGACTCATAATCCTTTGTACCCTTCGTAGACCCCATAGACATTGTAAAGGACTACATCCCTCCTCATGAGTACCTGGTGGAAGAGGACCCCAAGCTGTATCAGTCAGTCAAGACCAAGCGAGGTCCGCTGGCTGAGGACTGGATCGAGGAGATCAACCAGCGTCCTGGTCAGGGCCCTGTCATGTGTGCCTACAAGCTGTGTAAAGTGGAGTTCAGATACTGGGGCATGCAGTCCAATATCGAGCGCTTCATACATGATGTGGGTGGGTACGGCAGATGATGTGTGTGTGTCCTTAAGAGTGTTTGCACTCTAACGCTATACTAAGGCAACGTTTTCTTTTTTTTTCTCTTCTGTGTGAGTGAAGTGTTAGAGTTAAGTCTAAAAAGTCAGACATCATCCTGAAAAACAGGTGAAAAACAGGAATGATCTGGGAAGAAATGACAATCACAAAAGGTTGTAAATAAATTAGAATAACTTTTCAAAGTAAAGGTTGCATCAGTGTGTGGCTTAATATATCTCTGCTTTGCTTAAAGTCCACAACAAAGTCAATAATATTCTTGAAAAACTTAAAATGAGGGAACAAAAAATTAACAGTTTGGAATTACCAGGAAAAGTAATGACCCTGAAAATATTGGAAATAATTTTGAAAAATCAGGGATAATTCTCAAAAACTTGGGAATATGCAATGGGTTAACCCATAAAATATGGGAATCATAAGCTTGTAAAACCTCAGAACACCCATCAGAAGGTATTTTTGGGTTAAATGTCGTTGTGTGTCAATGCATGTGTGGTCTATATAAAGGGAATAGACCATATCCCTGTAGTGATTAACCACTGATTAACGAAAGCTGTGCAGGGTAGAGTAGAGACTGATAAGGGGAAGACACTGAAAAAGAAATGAACAAGACGGGTGAACCGCTGGACGTACCTGGCTGAGGAAGTGTCGAGTGTTTGCTCGGCAGGAGCAGAAAGAAGCATTTGGCTCCCGGAGATAACGGAGCAGGCTGGATTAATTTCCTGCCAGTGTCGGTCTGCTTGTTTCACTGCTGGGATCTGAGACTGTTTACCCTCCTGCAGCCCTCGGCTCGCTCCCTCACAGCTTTCACTTCCAGGCTAACGAAGCGGCAGCTGCTCCGTGTCGATGATATTCTCACTTAGCCATCCAGTCAAAGTGTGGTTTTCCTCCCTGACACCCCCTGCATCTCTTCCATGTCTACTTGCAGGCTTTTAACCAAATGTCATCTGTGTTTGCTTATGGGGACTCTCATCTGCATCCAGCCAGATTCATGAATATTCAAACACACAGCTTTATTACCCCTCCTTGAACCGCCACCTTATTGTGGTGGAGGAGTTTGAGTACCCGAGTGATACTAGGAGCTATGTTGTCAGGGGCTATATGTCCCTGGTAGGGTCTCCCAAGGCAAACAGGTCCTGGGTGACGGGTCAGACTAAGAGC